TATATATTGGAAGTCTACAAAACAGACTATAATTGCTAGTTCTACAATAGAAGCTGAGTTTATAGCGTTAGCTTCAGCATGTGAGGAAGTGAATTGGTTGAGAGATTTGTTACATGCAATCCCTTTTTGGGAAAAACCAATTCCTCCTGTATTAATTCGTTGTGATAGCACTGCTGCTATTAGTAAAGTGAACAATCATTTTTATAATGGTAAATCCAGACCCATTCGAAGAAAACACAGTAATGTGAGATCCTATTTGATCAATGACATCACAATTGTGAATTATGTAAAATCTTGTGATAATCTTGCGGATTCGTTAACCAAGGCCTTGGCGAGAGATAAGGTCTAGAATACATCGAGGGGGATGGATTTGAAGCCTATAAAATCATAAACCATGTATGAGGATACCCAACTTAGAGACCAGAGATCATGTAACTAGGTTCAATGGGAAGAACGAATCATATGGTGGTTGTAAAAAATGTAGTCCTTAATATTTTGTTGTCCATCCTTATGATGTAAGTGCATTTGTCCTGTAATGTTGGAGGGCTGAGTTTTTATGCTCTTAATGAAATTCTATAGCTCTTGTTGAGTGGGGTGTATCAATTACAGAAACGTCCTTGACAGATTTCATCTATGTGAGCATGAAAGTGGGGGTCACTTTCTATGAGAATAAGGCTTATTCTCAAATATGCTCATGAAAACTGGGATAAGCATAAGGTTGTAATGTGCTGGCTATTAAAACTCATGTAAACACCTGGATTATTATGTGTGAGCAGTAATATTTTATTTCTCCTAAGTAGTCATACTTCAAGACTGAGACCATTACTGACTCTGAAGTAGAGGTTGTTGTTTCACTAATGGAAGTTCAATACAGAGCACACCTTCATGATGCATATTAGTCTATCTTTGTTTGGTAATCTCTCTTGTCCTTGTTGATATTAAAATGAGTGGGGGATTGTTGGACCATTTTAATATCTTTTATTTATTTATATATATTGTTCATGAATCTTCCTTTTGTCTTGTTCATGAATTTTATCTTGTTCATGAATGGAGATTCATTGTTTTGGTGACATTTTGTCTTGTTAATAAATGAAAATTAATTAGAATTTATGAATTTGGTGGTGAGTTAACATTTGGTTACACTCTGCCTTTTCTCTAAATTCATGGTCATTATTATTTTTTGGTGTATTTTGTAAAGTCCTAGTGGCCTATAAATAGTCCTCTCTTGTACTCTTTTCTAGACTAGCACACAAACTATTTTCTATACAAGAGAGATTACTAGCAAAGAATGGCTTTTTTTTAGTGGAGTTTTGGGTTCACCATCTTGTGTAGAGTTGGCCTGAACCATACGATAAGTGGTCGGACTGTTATATTCTGAAGGGGACAAGTCATAATTTTGTAACTGCTGCGTCGGTATTTGGATTCTTCCTATTACAGTGAGCTTGATCTCCTTAAAGAAAACGAGATATCTGTGCCTCAACCTGATTTATTTGTATCTTATTTTCTTTGCATTATTTATCAATAAAATATAAATTTTTCTGGTATTTTCACCAATATTTTTTTATACAAAACTGATTTGATCACATAGCTATCGATATCCGATTAACGTGATTCTTTATAAGTATATAGAACTCGATAGGTTCTACATATTAACGGTTCAAATTATTAAAACAGGACGGGTAATAAACTTTTACAACTCCAATCTGATCAAGAACTTGAAGGAAGTCAAATTCACTAATAAAATGTTTGGTTAGGAAAGTTTCAAAGTGGTATTGGGACATTAGTACATCGTTAAAATGAAGTTAGCGGACTGTCTGGTTAATATGCAAGTAAATGGATTATGGAAGTATTAAATTAATAAAAATGTTTGATAATTAAGACAGTTTCAAAGTGGTAGTGGGACATTAGTACATCGTATGATTGTGAAGATGAACTGAGTTGTAAGGAGCTTTTTATTAATGGAACATATGTGATGCCAATTTTTTTTTTTTTTTTGGACCAACTATGTGATGCCAATTGAAACATGGATTTTGGTCTAATTTGGGAAGAAAAGAAAAATTAAAAGGTAGCTTTTAACTTATTTTTGATTATATTATCTCTCACATCTTTTTACACATTTAAAAAAATTAATTTTTAACTATCTGTCCAAAACAACTACGGACTTTGCCAAAAAAAAATATTAAGTTGCGTCTGCTGGGCTCACTTTAGGGGGATGCACCAATAAATCCTAAATTAATAACTTATGTACTGTTTAGTTCTAAAAGTTTTCTTATAGACTGAAAGGTCCCATTACAATATTAATAACATCAGATACAATGTTAATAACATCAGAGTCATGTTACAAACATTGGATTTCAAACATCTAATGTTCATCAAATTTCAATAATGTTTGAAAATATAGGATGAAAAACATCTAATGTTCATCAAATTTCAATAAATTTTGAAATTATAGAATGAAACATCAGATCATTTACATCATTCACATCATGTTGATGTAAAAATGGGACTAAATGGAGCATAAGAAAACTTTTAGAACTAAATGGTTCAACGTTTCAAAAACTAGGACTTATGGGTAAATTTTCCCTCACTTTATGATTTAAAAAAGTATTATATAATCTCATTTTTTATATTCTTTTGTTATTTTTAAACACAAAGCAAATTATTGGGTAGCCTATTAAAATTGAAGTGTTTAATAATTTTTAAATAAATTAATTACACCGATCTCCTTTAACAATTGAGATAAATATAGATGGCTATTAATTTGGCAAAAAAATACACTAACCTTCCTTAACATTTTAGCTAGGGGTGCAACTCGGGCGGGTTCGGCCGGGTTGGGGGTTTGCTCAAGCCCAGCCCGAATTGTATTTGGCAGTGCCCAAGCTCGTCCAAGCCCGACCATGAACCCGAGCATTGCTGCTCAAGCCCGGACCAAGCTTTGTATTTTGAACTCGGGTTAGCCTGAATTGCCCGAAATTCACAAGTCCAGAAACCTGTAGGTAGACCAAATGAAACTCTCTGCTTGTGTCCACCAGACAATTGAGTCCCATGCTCACCTACCATGGTATCCAGTCCCTAAATCCAATATTTAAAATACAAAGGTAAAATAAAGAATTAACAAGTTTATGAAAATGAATGAATAAAATACATAAGAAAGAATGTAATCAAAAGGGCAAAAAAACTTCAAACCTGAGGCAGTTATATATTATAAGATATAGTTGGGTTAATTTAATTTAATTTAATTTAATTTATTAAACCTCTTTTGTTTAATTTATATATATTATATAATTTATATAATATATTAAATTCAATTCGGATTCGGGTTGCTCGGGTTGGCCATTGATTCTGTCCAAGTCTAGCCCGAATTACAATTTGGGCATCAAAAATCTGCTCAGGCCGTCCAGATTACAAGATATAGTTGCCCAAACCCTAAAAAAACTCAGACTAGACTCGGGTTGCTCAGGTTGAGCCCGTCCGAATTACACTCCTAATTTTAGCTCGTCCTTAAACGACAATTAATGCTTTCACAAAAAATGCTTTCACAAGACCATTATTTTACACAATGGAATTCATATTTTTCTTTTATGCAAAACTAAAAATAAAAAACAGTTGACCCATGGGTTATAATTTTAAATGGACAACCTAATCCAATAATTTATATTTTAATGATGCATCAAAGGTGATGTCATCGATTGGACGGTATTTGCATGGTTGTCTAGTGGGTTTGGGAGGAGATGTCCGCAATTTATTTTGAAAAATAAGTTACATGTTAATTTTTTTTAAATATATAAAAAAATAAAAAGGTGACGTGATTAAAAAAGTCAAAAAAAATTAATAAATTGATTTTTAGACGAATTGTCAAATGAGGCTAAAGAATTGAAGTAACATTGATGGTAAGGCCAAGATTGGCAAGTTTAGAATAAATCAAAAAGTCAAAAAGTTACTCAAAAAGTTAAAAAGTTAACACTATTCATCAAAAGTCAACAATTATGGCTGCACTACTCCCAATTCTAATTTTCTCTTACAAACCAATTTTTACAATTTTTTATTACACATTTTTTCATAAAAAGTCAAAAGTTAACCTAAACATCTATATTTTCTTTCTCAATTTTTTAGTTCAAAAAGATAAAAAGTACACTTATTTAGGACACCCCAAACAACCCCTAAATATGTATTTAAATGTGCAATAGAGTAGAATGGTAGAATGATGGTGACACTAGGAAAATAGAGGAGTCGAAAGTAAAAAGGGCTCTCAAGTAAAAGATGGAAATGGACAAATAGGGGTTGGTTTAGTGGTAAGACTTTCAAATCCCTCACGTAAAACTTGAATTTGATTCTCTATAACTCCTTATTGGGGTTAAACATATTCTGTATCACTTAGAGCATGCTTAAGTTTAGGCTTCAACGTAGGTGCGTTGAGATTCTCTGCAGATATGCTGTAAGTGTTAAGAAGCAATACTTCCTAGCGAATATGTGAAGTAGCCTATTTACATATCCATTTTATGAATTAAAAAAAAAAGAAAAAAAGAAAATGAAAATGGTGAATCTACTCAAGAAGAGAGAGAGATATGAAAGATTTTAAGAGTCAAAATAATTATGTAATTTTCACAATTTCTAGTGTTCATTAGTAAATAAATTCTAATTGGGGATGTTTGCAATTAAATTAGCAAAGCATACTATAATATAGAAAAAAATTTAGGGATATCAGTATAATTTATTTATTAAATTTCAAAGCAAAAATCATGGCCTGCAATGCAAGTGGTAACTTTCAAGGCCTCACTCACCCATTCTCATCCGTAAAATGATAAGCAAATAAAATGAAGCAAAAACACTCCACCAATTAAAATATGGGATCCACCAACCCCCTCTAGGCTGTATCTCTCCTCCTTCCTACCACCAAAAAAAAATCCAAAAAAATAAAAATTAAAAAAAGAAAAGGGCATAACTGTAATTTAAAAATCCCATGAAAACTCCTTTAAACTCCCCAACCTCCACCTCCTCCACCCACTGCACTTCTCTCTCCCTCTCTCTCTCTCTCTCTCTCTCTCTCATTTTTCATCTGCAACTGCAACAATGGAGCCCGTAAAAGAATGGGGAAACACTCCATTGGTAACCGTCGATCCAGAGATCCACGATCTCATCGAGAAAGAAAAGCATCGACAGAGCCATGGAATCGAGCTCATCGCCTCCGAGAACTTCACATCCTTCGCAGTCATCGAAGCTCTCGGAAGCGCACTCACAAACAAGTACTCCGAAGGCATGCCCGGAAACCGGTACTACGGAGGCAACGAGTTCATCGACGAGATCGAAAACCTCTGTCGCAGCCGAGCCCTCAAAGCCTACCGTCTCGAACCCACCAAATGGGGCGTCAATGTCCAGCCCTACTCCGGAAGCCCGGCCAACTTCGCTGCCTACACGGCGGTGCTCAACCCCCACGATCGAATCATGGGTCTGGACCTTCCCTCCGGTGGTCACTTGACTCATGGCTACTATACTTCTGGTGGGAAAAAGATCTCGGCGACCTCGATTTATTTTGAGAGTTTGCCTTATAAGGTTGATCCCAATACTGGATATATTGATTATGATAGATTGGAAGAGAAGGCTATGGATTTTAGGCCTAAATTGATTATTTGTGGTGGGAGTGCTTACCCTAGGGATTGGGATTACAAGAGGTTGAGATCTGTTGCTGATAAGGTTGGGGCTTTGTTGCTTTGTGATATGGCTCATATCAGTGGTCTTGTTGCTGCTCAGGTACATTTCTTGTTCTTGTTTGTGTTTTTTATGAATCTGATTTGGTTTTGTTTTATTCAATTGTGTAGATCTGCATTTGGGATTTTTTTTTTTTTAAAATAAAATTTACTTTGAGCTTTTATGATGGTACTCAGTGAGAGATAATTGGATCTGGATGTATTACTGAGTTTTTCATGTTCTTGATTTGCATTATTGAATCTGTATTGAAGTTGGGGCTTTACGCTATGTTTGGATTGACTAATTTGGAGAGAAAAGAAAAGAAATGATATGTATTTCTCTTATTTGTTTGTAGAGAAAAATGGGAAGAAATAGAAAGAAATGGAGAGAAATTCATTTCTATTATAACACTCATTTTCAATCTTTTGGGAGAGATTGTGAAGAGAAGAAATCACTATTTTTATAATACTAATTTTGTCCCTATAAAAATAAAAAAAATAAAATAAATAGAATGATTGAAAATATAAAAAAGTTATTTTGACAATATAATATAAAATAATTTCTTTTCTTTTCTGTTAATGAAATCTAACCAAACAAGAATGAGACAATTTTTTTTTTCATTTCTTCCTTATCTAAACAAAAAGGAAAGAAATCACAATCATTTCTTTTCTTTTTTTTTCTCTTATTACTTGAGCAATCATTTCTTTTCTAGCCTAGGTTCCCAAACATAGTGTTACGGTGGTTAAATTGTGTAGTTTGGATCTGGGTTTTGCTGGTTCTTTTTGTTCTTTTGTTACTTAGATATTGTTTGTTTGAATGAATTCTTTGGACTGTCATTTGGATCTTCTAAATTTCATTTCTTTAGTTCTCTCTGATTCCCTGTCCCTTTTGTTATGCATTTTGCAGTTAAAGGTCAAGGTTTTGAAGTATTTTCAGATTTTAGAATATATTTGGCTTACAATTTGCCAAATATATTTCACATTGATTGGGTATTAATAAAACTGAGAAGGAACTCAATTTGCTTACTGTAATTGTAATAGTGTATTTCACATTGATTGGGTATTAATTCGAATTCACGTGATAAGAACTTTTTGATTGAATTTTACTGGAGTCTGGGATCTAGATATAAATAATTAGGATCGGTTACTTTGTCTCTACTAATCTGATTGTATTGAAGGGCGGTCCTGTTTTAATTTAATTTAATGAAAATTGCCAAGATTTTTTTTTAATGAGAATCTGATCTCAGCTTACTTCTAAGTTATGTATACGGGAATTGAGATTCCATGAAATTGATTGGTAACTGTGAGATCTTGGGGACATCATAGTTATGCCTATTTGTTTTTTTTTAATTATATTTTAGTACAATTGAATAACATCATTTTCCCTATCAAATTTGGAGTAGAACAGTTTAATATGCATTCAATTAAAGAACAATACCGAATTTCAATGCTGATTAATCATTTCAATGCAAAATTGTAAGAGTATCAGGATCCATGATTTCTGCATTGTCATCTTTTGGTTATTTTATTTTATTTTGGATGGGTTTGAGCTTCTTGATTATTGAGGTAGATCTTGTGGATCCAGACAATCCATTTGTAATTCTTGTCATTTTTCCTGCGTGTAGGAAGCTGCAGATCCCTTTGAGTACTGTGATATAGTCACAACCACTACCCACAAGAGCCTGAGGGGTCCTAGGGCTGGTATGATCTTCTACCGGAAGGGTCCTAAACCAGCCAAGAAAGGCCAGCCAGAAGGCGCAGTTTATGTCTTTGAAGACAAGATCAATTTTTCTGTTTTCCCAGCCCTCCAGGGTGGTCCTCACAATCACCAGATTGGTGCTTTGGCTGTTGCTCTGAAACAGGCCATGTCTCCTGGGTTCAAGGTATATGCTAAGCAAGTCAGGGCCAATGCAGTTGCCCTTGGAAACTACTTGATGAGCAAAAACTACAATCTCGTGACGGGAGGGACTGAGAACCACCTTGTTCTATGGGATCTTCGCCCTTTAGGATTGACCGGTAAAATGACTGAATACACACCTTTTTTTTACAAAATAATATTTTTCCCCCTAATCGAAGCATCTAATTATGTGTTGCTATTGTTGCAGGCAATAAGGTTGAGAAGCTCTGTGACTTGTGCAACATAACTGTGAACAAGAATGCTGTGTTCGGTGACAGCAGTGCCTTGTCTCCTGGAGGGGTACGAATTGGTAAGAACTGTTGATTTGAGGGCATCATTTTACTGATAACAGATAGATCTCACATGAGAATGTGACTGAAAGAGTCTTTTAAATTGACTCCTAGAACAAGTGACTTTTACTGATTAGTACAACATTTTCTCCCATAGAAACCAGTGAATCTAATAGGGGAGGTGGGAGGTGGACTTGAATTGAAAGTGCGGTTTTTTACCACTGGATACTTCAGCTCAAACCCATTTACCCCATTTCCTGAGATAAATGATTTAACTAGGCAAAATGGGTTTTATTCGACTCCTCTAGCCATGTGTTACTCAATATTTCATTAAATGCTTAGATGTCAAAGTGGAATTTAAAGAATAATTGATATGAAAACTTGAAGTTGCTTGCCTTTATTCACCAAATTACATGTCTAGTAATTCAGACAGATCTGGTTTGGTGCGCGTGTTTGTTCAGTGATGCAGTAAATTGATTGTTTTCACAATTTGGGTTGATTGCTTTTCAATTTACTCAGAACTTCAAAACTCTCACTTGTTTTCTGTTGAAATATGAAATCAGAAAACCAGATAGTTCGACTTTCCTTTCTTTGATATGAATGAGTGAGGAGATTCTCTGTTTGCAGGTACTCCGGCTATGACTTCCAGAGGGTTGGTTGAGAAGGACTTTGAGCAGATTGCAGAGTTCCTCCACCGCTCTGTGACAATCACATTGAAGATCCAAAAGGAGCATGGAAAGCTCTTGAAAGACTTCAACAAGGGTCTGGTGAACAACAAGGACATTGAGGAACTCAAGGCTGATGTTGAGAAGTTTGCAGGCTCGTTTGACATGCCCGGCTTCTTAATGTCCGAGATGAAGTACAAGGATTAGGGTTTCAGGACATTCATGATTGTTATTGTTGTCATCACATATTTCTGGAATTTGAATTCATAAATTTTTCTTTTCTTGTATTTCCGTTCAAAGTGTACTTGGAAGAAAAATAATATGCAACTGTCTTCCCCTTTTGCTTTTTTCACTGTTGTAGTGTAGTTGATTGGATTTTGTTCTATTAAAAGTTGTAGTGGGTGTCAAGTTTTGTGAGTTAGAGAGAAACTCTCTCTAAAGAACTTGATGTATTACTACTTTCATTTCTTAATAATATTGAGAAAAAAAAAAAAGAAAAAAAAAAGAAAAGAACTACAATTTTATTAGATTCTCTTACTTTCCCTCTTTATTTTTTAAATTTGGGGATCACAAACTCCTTTCAAATAGTGGATACAAATAGTGGGTACAACAAAATAGGTAAAAGTTACATTTTGTGGTATTTTTTTTTAATATTTTAATTCTCATCTATTTACAATTACGTCTCCACCATCCATTTTTTTTGTAATTTCCCAAGAGGGTTGCTATATTATTTGATTTTATTAATACTACAATATTCATTGAAAAAAAAATCATATAAAACAGTAATAAAAAATTATTGACATAATATATTTTTGAAAAATAACAATACATTATAGGTTTAGAAAAACAAAAAGTATACAAACTTTAATAATTAAAATGTTAGTTTATTTTTTTTATGGAATTGTAATTTTCTTAAAAGTTATTTGAATTCTAATTTTTATTATTTTTTTAATAAATTTTGAAAGGATGGGCTACGGCCGCTTCACTTCTCCCAAATTCAAAGTGATACAAAGGCTCGTCACAACTGAGTTTGAATGACCAATAGAAACAAGCCACGCATAACCCAAAAGAAAAAAATCAAGGGAAAATACTATAAGTCCTAAATAAATTATCAAATATTCTATTAAATTTTTTGTGAAACTCATACACATATGATTTATATAAATCTTATATTTAATAAAATATTTGATAATTTATTTAAAATTTATACTATAACTCAAAACCGAGTAATACATTCACCGGCACGAACACGGTCCTTTTCCCATTAGTTTTGCGAATTAAGATTTTCTTATTGTATTTTTTATTTACAAGTTTATTGAATTCATTTTTAGACTCAATCTTGATAAGTCGAACGGTTCACATTTTAAGATTTGTTCAGTATATCATACTTGTAAAAAATTAAGTTGATCGGATATCAGAAAACATGTGTTCGAAAAACTTGAACTAAAAACTATTTTTTTAAAGAATTTAATAAATAATTTTCTGAACATATACTTTCTGATATTCGATCAACTTAATTTTTTTACAGATATGATATACTGAACAAATCTTAAAATGTGAACAGTTCAAATTATCAAAATTAAATCTACAAATAGATCCAATAGACTTGCGAATAGGAAATGTAAAGAAGAAATAAAAGAAGAGGATCCTGGCTGTTAGATCTTCACCCATCTTTCTGACAGCCCGTCCCTATCCACTCTCAATTATGAAAGTGTTTGGAGGGAGGGTCGAGTAAAAATAACTTACTTAAAAAATAAAATAGTTAACAAAGTAAAATATTATATATAATTGACAATAATTTTATTTCTTCTCTCAATCATTAATTAATTAAATAAATGAATTAATTTTTTAAATACAATTATTTTAACTAATCAAAAGTATTTAAAAAAAATGAAATAGGGAAGTAAAATAGCCAACCCCCATACAGGGCCAATTCTCTCTCTACTCTTCTCCAAATCTACTGAAAAAAAAAAAATGGAAACAGGCGAGAACTGTTCTATTTCCGACTGGGATCGACCCTTAACGGACCAAGAACTCGAAGCCATCGAAGCTGCATTCCGATCCGCTACTACCTCATCATCTTCGACTTCTTCTCCAATCAAGCAACGCCACGTTCCCACTCGGAACGACGGCGGAGACGGAGACCGCCCGACGGCTCGGCGGCGGTTGCCGGGCTCGATCGCCAGTGAATTCCGCAGAGGCGATGGCTCTGGAAGTGAGAGCAATTCGATGATGTGCGTCTCAGATTCGTTCTCTCTATTGCGGTGTCCGAGGAATCGATTTTTTGATGCCTGTCATTCTTCAACTCCAGGTAAATGTTTTTATTTTGCTTTATTTTATTTTTTGTCTCTCATATTTGATTGGCTGTTGTGAAAAAAGTTAGCTCAATCAAGCAAATATAGTTGTAATAAAATGCTAAAAACGTAGAAAGTAATGGTAGAATGTAAACTAAATTTCCCTCAAATTTGTGTGTTGCAAACATTTGAATCTGAACTATTCCTTTCACATTCTATTATGTTTTTGCTAAAAAATGCTTTTAATTTTTTTTGAATAAGAAAAAAATACAGTACTCCTGAAACTACTTGAAAAAAATACCGCACTTTTTAAATTCACTATTTAAAATTGTCATTTTAAGTAAAACCACAATTTGAAAATGTGATTTTGAGCTATGTTGGATTGGCAAGTTTGAAATTTGAACTTGCAATTTCAATTTTTGGGAAACTACTAAAGATATAAAGAAAGAGTGCTCCATTTTGTGTTGGAAATGGTTATAAAATTTTGGATAAAATCAGAATTTTTTTTTTCTAAGTTTGGTCTATTTTTTAGGTGAGCCCCGTGCGTCGATTTTCACGGGTCAAAGTGGTAACGCGTTCTATGCCGCGTTGTGATTCACGTGGTATATTTGGTTGCTCAAAACCATTACCGAGTGAATGGGAAATTGAAGCCAAAGTGTGCTCTATGGAAATGGAGTTTTGGTAGAAAATCCTTAAAGTTGTAAAATGGTTTGTCCCACGTTGATTTGGTGGGAGGTTTTGAATGAGTTTATAAGGCTTGGGTTTGGTACTTGAGGTGTGCCCCAAGAGGTACCCAAGTGTTTTAGAGGGAGAGGTTATGGGCAAAATGGGCTAGACCTATTGGACCCAAAAATCATCACACGCGCGAGCCGCTGCCGTCCGGTCGGGCGGGTTGGGCTGGGCTTGGACGCGGGTGCGTGGTGTGAGGTTGGGTTGGGCTTGTTCGGCCCAATACTAATCTTTTTGGGCCAAAACATTTGAATTTAATTTTATTTTGTATAAAATAAAATCCAGAATTCAAATTAAACCGGAAATAAACTGGTTTGGTTTTACTGTACATCCAAACAGGTCCCTTCCTGTTTTTGTATGTGTTTAAATTATGAACCCAACAGATTCAAATCTGTTTGAATTCAAAATCAACAGGTTTCATGCCTGTTCAATTCAAAACCAATAGTCACCTTTACATCTATAAATAGACTAGCCTTCCATTTTGATTTTACTCCAATTTTCGTACTCCATCCTTTGCTATAAATCTCTGCATTTTGCTGCATTTATTTTCTGAAAGAAAGAGTGTAAACACTTAGTGTGTTCGTAAGGCAAACAATTAGTAGTGCTGCTATTGTTTGTGGTAGATCATTTCATCCTGGGAGATAGACGTCCAAATTCTGAAAGCACCGTGGAGAGGACGAATCTGTCTTAAGGACACAGTGTCAAACACTGAACTTGATCAGATTATAATTCGAAGAAATTAAATCAAGTAAGTTATTTAATTTATTTTTCAGTGTTTTATTATTTATTTAAATCAGATTTTAATTTTGTTTTTGTAACAAAATAAAATCTGTTTTTATTTATTTATTTTTATTTTTATTTCGAGTTTGATTTTTGTAATCAAACAAATTCTCTCATTTCCTTTATTTCTTGATATTCTGGTTGTTGTTTAGTACACAACAAAATTTAATTAATTTAAATACAGTGAAAATTGTCCTACAATCTTAAGACAGATCCTTTTTGGAATCTTCATTGTATTTAATTTTCTGTGATTTCATAAGACATATTCTGGTTGGAAAAACAAATAGTGTTTATGTTATTTGACAGATAGTAGTAATATACTGTCTCTTTTCTTTGACAACTAGTAGTAATATACTGGTGTCATTAACAATTGCAGAATATTAATTGACAAAGATCCTATAGAGTTATTGACCTCGCACATCAGCCATTAAATGAGGCTGTCATAGCATTAAATGCAACAGGACCTCTCACGACCGGAGTATGCAAAATCACCGTGACCGATAGCAACTAGGTTATAGACTTTCGCCCAATGAGATAGCTTGGAATAGATAGGGAAATGATTAGTAAGGGATATAAGGAAGCTTCCGAAGTACGTTTGGTAATGAGTAATACTTTCTCTTTCTTCTCCTTCTCTCTGGCGACTCTCGTTTTTCTCTATTCACACTTCTTCCGATAATTTCCTGTCTAACTTAGCCGTCGGAGAGTCCACAGGGAGGGACCACTCCAGTTTTGGTACCTTCCCATTGGACCTTTGGAACACTAAATTTATTATTTTGGAATGGAAGTATACCATGTTTCGGAACGTGCGTACCAATATGTAATTCGCTAGGATATTAACATTTTCTGGTAACATAGTGTTGACCTCCAGTGAGGTGCTGGGTTCTCCCAACTAGGCTAGCCCTAATTGGTTATGAGTTTTCCTCCTCGATGGAGTAATGTATTTTTTTTGACATTAGATTTTCTTTTTATTTTATTTATATGTTTCTTATCTAATTATAGAGATGCCCTAGGAAAATGCTGCCTAAGGGACGAGGGAGGAATTAGATATAGAAAGTGCCTTGCAAATCCAAAACACAACTTCTTCCAAATTGCGACCTAAGCACACTAGTTAAGGGGGCATTTGGTAAAGTTTATATTTTACAAAAATTTGAGTGTGCAGAATTTGAGATGAACAAATTTATCAATCAGGCTCGCACATTTGGGACAGAGCAGTGACTTTGTTTCCTAAAGTTGATCAGGTCTGGTACATTCACATAGAAGATTCCTTTTCTTGAGTGTTTAATTTTGGAATGTCAGCATTTAGAGTGTAGACCGTATTTCTATTGCCAGATCATTACAGAAAGAAACATGATCTCTGCAGGTGTTTCACCTGGAAAGGCTGCAGTTATGCAGATATGTGGGGACACTGGTCATTGTTATGTGATGCATATAATTCATTCTGGAATTCCTCAAAATTTGCAAGCTCTTCTTGAAGATCCTACTTCTGTGAAGGTTAGTTAAATCTGTAGTCTTAGTAGCTTTTGACCTTGCTGCATGTACTGTCTTATCTATTTTCTGGATTCTACATATTGTTGTCTATTTTAATATACTGCCTAACACATGCATAGGTGGGGGTGGGCATTGTCAATGATGCTTTTAAGGTTTTCAAAGATCATAATGTATCTATAAAAGGTTTGGAAGATCTGTCTGGGCTAGCCAACCAAAAGCTTGGTGGAGATCCGAAGAAGTGGAGTCTGGCATCACTAACTGAAATGCTTATCTGCAAACAGGTTAACATTCTAGGTGTCTTCTATGAATAATTTATTTCGCCATCTTATATACCTGATCGTCATCTTTACTTTGTTTTAGCCAATCTTGACTGTCTCAATTGGAGAGCCAGTCCCCCCCTTCACTCTCTCTTTACCAGACACTATTGTCTTAAAAAAGTCTTTCCTGCTGTAACAAATATATGTCGAAAATCTGATTCCTGGATCACATTTTTTGCATTGTCTGAGTGTACTGCCTCCACAATTATAGCTTCAACTGGCTCTTCTATGTCAATATGGAAAATCATTCTTTTTAATATCTACAGACCCTTTTTTAATTTTGTTTTCTCTCCTTTTCTTTTTGCCCCCTGTTTTTAACTGGTTGACATTAAGGTATCTGTGAACTTGGTCAGTACTAATTGGTTTGCATTTATGTAATGGAAACCTATCATGAGGTCAACTTCATGTGGCATGTGCCCAGTACATTTAGGTCCAATCTTGCACACAAATTGAGACACATGACAAGTTTCCACACCAAAGTTTAATTAGATCAAATCATGTATGCTGGTCAAAGATGAGCCCTTCCTCTCCTTGACCCGATTCTGTTTTGTTTGTGTTGTTTGATTGGCATGTAGGGGCCCATCTTTGGTTTTTCCCCCCTATTTTTGCCACTAGGACCATCTTACTGAGTGAAAGTGTTTACATGGTGCATGTATGGTAATTTGTTGCCTAGGCAGCAATTAAGGAGAACCCATCACAAGATCCATGAACTTGACCCATGCTAGAATTCCTCTTTATGTGATAAACTGTTTTCTACTTTGATTATCATCCTTTCTTGAGGTGGTGGGTAATAGGTTTGGGTTTGTCTAGTTGATGTGGTATGTTTCTGGGTATGTTTATCTTTCTTAATTTCTAAACTTGTTTTTGTGTTTTTGCTTCTAAGTTGCCAGCTGGCTTAGCCAATAAAGTCTATTGGTGTTGATGTCACAGATCTGGGATCAAATTTTGCCTTCCTCTGGTCCTTGGGGTGGGGGTTTATGGAAGCTATGGTTTTAGTCGAAGTTATGTATTATCCTTCCTAGTTTCTAGTCACATCATCACCTTTGCCATTTTACTAGCTTTTTTATTAATAAAACTGATTACAATTGAGTGCATCTAAGAGCATTGTAACAAGGTTACTGAACATTTGATGATGCAAATAGAGCATTCATGGGGAATCATAATGAGGCTTGTTGAGCGGTTCCTTTAGTTGTGTGACCACATGTCACTCAGTAGTCAAATTAAAAACAGCCTGTATCCATGAATCCTCATAGTTGAATTTGTGGATTAGTGAGATGAGTTTGCTAATTAGCTGTGGATTGTGACTTAGAGGGCTAGGGTGAAAGATTGGCTTACTGAGATCTATATTGCGTAGCCTCTTTGCTGTGATCTTGTTCTAAACAGATTTTTTTTTGCACCTTCCTTCCCTCTTTGTTTCCGTATGTTACTTTGAACCCAAATCAACTTTCTAATTTTTTTTTTTTTAAAACCGTGTCCATGAAGTGTCCTCAATGTGTCCAAAAGAAAAAAAAATAATAAAAAATTGACACACCACATGATGTGTCCGTTCTTCCTAGCCCCATGATATTCTTTGCAATTATAATAAATTTTGTTTGAGATCTTACTGAAAGTTCTCTGATGTTGCAGCTTCCAAAGCCTGAAAAAATTAGACTGGGAAACTGGGAGGCAGATTTTTTATCGAAGGAACAACTAGAATATGCTGCCACTGATGCTTTTGTTTCTTGGTACCTACATCAGGTAAATGAAAATTACAATTATCTTCCTCACATATTTTTTATTGTCATATTGTGGGTGAAAAAACTATGTTCCCTTTTATTGTTGCAGGCGCTGAATTGTCTCCCCGATGCCGCTGATAACAAATGTGAAGAACTGGGAAATGAGCCATTACAATGATTGTTGTACTTTTATTTATTTATTATTTTACAGATAGTTATGTCGGCATTGTCTTGTTGCTACAGAGTACTCAACATCAGCTGTTATTGTTGAATTAACACAATTTTCGAATCCTGTTAGTAAAAAAATATCTATTCAATGGGGTCACCACCATTGATGAGAGAGGTCATGGTATTGTCCGAATTTGATCCGAAAATGTGGGGTTATCTCTGGGGCGGATCATGTTGAAGCTGTTAGTGCATGGGAAGCAGTTCAATTCACAACAGTTTGTGGCCTTCGTGTGTCTTCAAATTACAGCGCATGAGGCTGGGTTGCAATGTATGGACGTGGACAAGGTTCCACCATCAGATTTCATTCTCATGTTGTCTGAAGCAATGAACTCTTTGTAATCTTTTGGCTTGATGCCCACAATTGGAAAAAAAGAAAAGAAAAAAGAGTAGTGCTGAAATTGCTAGATTATTCTTCATATAATTAGATTGTTAAATGATCTATAATATTCAACAAGCTCTGCAACGCTTGGAGTTTTTCCTAGTATGGCTTAAGTAGGCTATGTGTATGCTTAGGGCTGTGTAATTTGCTTTTCCTGTGACGCAGAACAAAACAGTTATGAAAAGGTGTTTTGGTTTTGGAATGAATTGTTAGAGCCTGATTTTGATGCTTTCGGATGTACTTTCCTCTACAAAGTACTAGTATTGATTTTGTTTCCCCATATATATATGAGACTAATTTTAGGTTTCCAAATTATTAACTGTTCAATCTACCCTAATTTTAAAGTGATTGGTTTTATTGGAATCCCCAAGTTGATGATTTATTGTTGGAAACTTGGAAGTGTTTTGTCAAGCTAAAACATGTGCATGTGTAGGGCCAAAGAATCCTCCAATTAGAAACTGATGTGGGGAAAACAAAGAGATGGAGAGGTGATGAGCCAATGCATGTGAGTGGGGCCAACCATTGCATGAGAGTGTCAATCAATGGTATTATTATTATTCACTCTCTCTATTGTGTGGGGAGGACCATGTGATGTGAGGTTTTGAGATATGTATATGTGTTGGAAATGGACAAGTTTAGACAATGAAGGTGGATGGCTATGATTGACCAGCATATGGGTCATAACTCAATGAAGTTGCCATTAAAGTAGTAATTATTTTTTTAATCAACAGTAAAAATAATTGATCAAGTAATCACACTACATTAAATTCTTATAATAGCATCTCTCCAACATTGCTAAAAAATTGAAGCCCACGGACCAATGGCAGGGCATCCATGTATGCTATAAACCAATGAAACACAGCATTTGTTTTTCTTAAATTTGAAATGGCACCTTTCTTGGGCAACCCAGAAGAAGAATAGGAAAGACAAAAGCTCAAGACACCCTCACACAATGATAATAATAATAATAATAATAATAACAAAACTGAAATTATTTCTGTCATCTCTGAGGCTTGAGTTTGTTTTGGGCCATACTTAGCCCAATAATTGAAAAGGCCCAAAGTTTCAAATATAGGATGCAAACTTAGGAACTCAATCCACCGAAAAATTATTACATAGATCCACCTCATATCCTACGCGGTATATATTTACAATTCTATTGATTACATATCCATTATTTTCTTCTTTTTTCTCCTATTTATTATATAAATCAACCAATATGATTGGAAGGGCACACAATCTAATTAGAATTTCTGAAAGACAGGATAATTCATCCAATCCACCATTCCCATTGAATGCTCAGGGGGATGGAGGACCAGGACCTTAGCCTAAACTCATTTTGGGCTGAGATAATTAGACAATTAATGCTAGATTCAATTCCCACAAAAAAAAAATAAAAATAAAAAATAACCCTCAATATACCAGTTATTATTAACACATGATATCACTATCTAATTAGAGATCACTAGAGCTGTATTTGGTTTATAGATTTGGATAGTAATTTGGAAAGAAAAATGCAAAAGGTATATGAAAAATGTGTGAAATATAGCTATATTTCATTTATATTTTACTCACATTTTCCTTTTTTCTTTCCAAATCCCTTACCAAATCCATTCACTAAATATAACTTAAGGTCATGTTTGTTTGGGTGGACATAAGCTTGGGATTGGACTAATAGTCCAATAAAATTATTAATTCGATGTTTTGTTAAACAATTGAAATACGGACTAATTATTTTAAACTTGACTTTTAGTTAAGATAGGATACATAATCCAACGGATTTGTAATCCCAGGATTATTAGTCATGGGAATGCTAATCCAGTCCGCCCAAACAAACATGTAATGGGTGAATCCTATCATATAGATGTGAAAGTTACTGAGTATATCTTAAATTTGATAATTACATCTACATGGTAAAATTCATCTTATTCATTTCACGTTTTATAATTAGGTAGTAACATCATGACAATAACAGTATGTTTTTCTCCAGGTTCACATGGTGCCCTTTTTCGGACAACACAATTTCTAGTTGAGAGGAGAAAAGAAAAAAAAGAAAGAAATTGTGAATGTCCTAAGTTAACCAAATATCAATGTTAAATGCAAAAGATAATTGGAACCATATGAGGATCTGATTAAATATAAAACATGTTTTAATTAGAAGCCCAACATGAATTATGGCTATAGAGTGGATGCATATCTTCATATTTTAGTAGAATAGTTAGAAATCAATGTTAGGTTAGGTTCCAGTAAATTACATATATTCAGTATAAATAAATTAAACTTGTTTGATAAATATCACTTAAAATTTTAAGTACGTAAAAATATATTATAATTTTAAAGCCGTCATCCTTCCACTATCAACACGATTGTCGACGCAATTACTCCACTATATCACCACTACACAACTATCACTACCATCATTGTCAGAGGCAATTTCTTTTTATTTTTTTGGCTAAAAAAAGGGCTTGTTATTGCTAACAAGTAGCATGAAATTCAACTTTGAACTCTTCAATAACTAGCTAAATTTTGTGTCAAATTTTGGAGAAGGTATATCTATAGCAAAAATTTGACACTCTTTTATTTCTACCTTTTTTTAATTTATTTATGATAGAACTCACATATAGCATTTTTATTTAATATTTTGAAACAAATATAGAATAAATAATATTTACATTATTGAAACAACATTGATAAAATATAATATTTTAACACTATTCATTGTTAAAATATGGCAATAACTAGCCAACGCACACTAAATGAGTTATCTTTAACTACTATTTAGCCATTTTTGACACCGTTGTATATTGCGATTTCTGATTGACATAGTACATAGATAATGTCACATAATACTCCTAAAATATCTAATAATTTTCCTAATTTTGCACCCTATTGGTAAGTCACACAACTGATGTACTGTTCCAGATCCATAATATAATTTTTCCCAATGTTTTAGGCAAATATTAAATAACCTCTATTGGAAAAAGTCGGATGTTCAAACTTAAAATCTAATTTGATGAAAAAGATGCAAAAAAATAAAAATATTCATTTCATGTGATTCTTATTTTTGGGATAGAAATAATTTTAAAAATTCAAAATATTTATTTTTATCAAATTAATTTAAAATGATTGTGGTGTTTATGGTAATAATGACAATGGTGATGAAAGTGATGGTAGTGGTGGTGGTGGCGGTGGCAGCGGCAGCGGCGGCGATGGTGGTAATGGTAGTGGTGGCATGGCGGTGATGGTGGTGGTAGCATGGTAGTGATGGTGGCGGTGGTATGGTAGTGATGGTGGTGGCAGCGGTGACATGATTTGATATTCTTGATTTTTTTTTTTTTTTTTTGATTCCATTTATGGGACTATAGAATTTTTTTATTTTTGAATGTATGTCGAGCCAATGTTGAGTGAGGTGCAATATTTTAGATTTTTCTTTCTTTTTTAGAGACTATTAAATAGTTGATATTGTTAAAGTAGGGTAATTAAAGTATTGTAAGGTTGTGGTTGGTTTATGTAATACAAAGTGGTACGGAAGGAATGAAAAAGAAAATGATGGATAAAAGATCAAGGTAAATATGGTATTTTAAAAAGAATTATTACTGACATAAGCAAATATTGTGTGTTGACTTAATAGTCACAGAGGGGGCAATTGGTTGCAAACCTTGGGGGGGAAATTATATTAGTTGCAAATCTCAAGGAGTGTGTTTTGACACTCTTTTATTTCTACCTTTTTTTTAATTTATTAATGATAGAACTCACATATAGTATTTTTATTTAATATTTTGAAACAAATATAGAATAAACAATATTTAGATTATTGAAACAACATTGATAAAATATAATATTTTAACACTATTCATTGTTAAAATATGGCAATAACTAGCCAACGCACACTAAATGAGTTATCTTTAACTACTATTTAGCCATTTTTGACACCGGTGTGTATTGCGATTTCTGATTGACATAGTACATAGATAATGCCACATAATACTCCTAAAATATCTAATAATTTTCCTAATTTTGCACCCTATTGGTAAGTCACACAACTGATGTACTGTTCCAGATCCATAATATAATTTTTCCCAATGTTTTAGGCAAATATTAAATAACCTCTATTGGAAAAAGTCGGATGTTCAAACTTAAAATCTAATTTGATGAAAAAGATGCAAAAAAATAAAAATATTCATTTCATGTGATTCTTATTTTTGGGATAGAAATAATTTTAAAAATTCAAAATATTTATTTTTATCAAATTAATTTAAAATGATTGTGGTGTTTATGGTAATAATGACAATGGTGATGAAAGTGATGGTAGTGGTGGTGGTGGCGGTGGCAGCGGCAGCGGCGGCGATGGTGGTAATGGTAGTGGTGGCATGGCGGTGATGGTGGTGGTAGCATGGTAGTGATGGTGGCGGTGGTATGGTAGTGATGGTGGTGGCAGCGGTGACATGATTTGATATTCTTGATTTTTTTTTTTTTTTTTTGATTCCATTTATGGGACTATAGAATTTTTTTATTTTTGAATGTATGTCGAGCCAATGTTGAGTGAGGTGCAATATTTTAGATTTTTCTTTCTTTTTTAGAGACTATTAAATAGTTGATATTGTTAAAGTAGGGTAATTAAAGTATTGTAAGGTTGTGGTTGGTTTATGTAATACAAAGTGGTACGGAAGGAATGAAAAAGAAAATGATGGATAAAAGATCAAGGTAAATATGGTATTTTAAAAAGAATTATTACTGACATAAGCAAATATTGTGTGTTGACTTAATAGTCACAGAGGGGGCAATTGGTTGCAAACCTTGGGGGGGAAATTATATTAGTTGCAAATCTCAAGGAGTGTGTTTTGACACTCTTTTATTTCAAAATTTGTTACAAATTGATCAAATTTTTTGAATAGTCGAAATTTTGGACTATTATTGAATCCTCTTGTATCTTGCTCATGGTAAATATTATAAATTTTATTAATATAATTTTATAATCTTATCTAAATCAATCTCAAAAATTTATTTGTTGTTTAAAAAAAAAAAAAAGAAAGATAAGTGAAGTTGCTTGAGTGAAAACTTAGATCAACACTAAACAAACCTAAAATTCATCCTACAAAGTAATTTAAACAACTAATTTTTACTCCAAAATAAAAAAAAAAAGATGAGTGATGAACCAATTTTTAACCTCATATGTTCAATGTCATGAAAAGATTCAAAACTAAAATTGATTTGGTAAAAATTAAATTATTAAAGATGTG